AGGCGTGCCAATGGCAAGGCTGATAAGCTTGGGATGAAAGGAGTTACCAACAAAGGAGCGTATTGTCTGTGAGTGCAAAACATGTTTAAGGCGCGAAATAGTGGCAAAGTTGCGGCTGAGACCTGAAACTTGCAACACCTCACTGTCACTTAAGAAGCGGAACGGAATTCGTATACTACTGTTGTGAAATAACGGAAGGACATCGCGAAGCACAGCATCTTTCTCTGGATTAGAGGAGGTTTTGTTGTAGAAGCAACTCAAAAAGCGCCTCCACGCTGGATAGTAGATTGCAGGTATAAAATCGCTCCATTGAAAAGCAGGAACAGAGCTATCGGTGAACATATTTGCTATCACTGCAAACCGTTCATGTGTGTGCCAGTATGAAGTTCTCCACAGCAACGCTGCAGGATGGTAACTAGTCCAGCTGTAGCGAAGAGCAATATCACTGAGGACTTCAAGGGGTCGCATGAAAGGTTTGATAAAAACATCGCGAAACTTCCCTTTATCATGGATGGATAATGGTTTCCAGTCGGTAGGCCATTGTAGGTCTTCTTGGCACAAGGCTTGAGAGTCAACAGTGTCATGAAGGATGTTGTTTTGGAAGAAGAGACGAAGTCTTTTTGCTGGCGATATTTTGGAAGTACACCAAGTCATTTTGTCTCGTGTGATGTGCGAGAGGCCAAGGCAGGCTCTGATGAAAGTGAAATGATCATAGTGCATTGAACCTGCATTTTCGATAAGAAAGCGGATATGTGTCTTAGGAAGGACTGTACCAAGTAGGTATAGCGCGAGGTGCATTGTAAAGAAAAACACTGTCAGGACCACATATGCCTAGGCGTCCATGTTCCTGACCAGCATAAGTGAGGTCAGTACAGGGACTGCCTCCAATGACAAAGACATGACAATAGTCACTTAAAGTGACGAACTCTCTTAAGATTCTCGCTCCATCATCAAAGAGGAGGGTTGCGCGCACACCCGGCAAATCGCACTCTCGCCTGCATTTCGCGCACTCGACACGCACGATCTCCGCAGAGGGTTGCGCGCACACCGGACAAATCGCACTCTCGCCTGCATTTCGCGCACTCGACACGCACGATCTCCGCAGAGGGTTGCACTTTCGGTTGACGCTGTTCGTCCCGCACTCCGCCTTTAAGAGAGAATTTATAAAGTGGGGAAATGTTTTTTCATTAGGACATCTCCCGTGCTAGTTTTCCACACTCACACTTGCCTACTCATTGCATGCTTGTATACTCATTGCGTGCTTGCATACTCACCCTTGCATATCATGCTTGCATACTTACCCTTGCATATCATGCTTGCATACTTACACTTGCATACTTTGACACTGGCATACTTCGCACTTGGATGCTTTCGCTCTTCCAGTGTGTGTGTGTGTGTAAGTGTAAGTGTCGAAGTGTAAGTGTTCAAAGGATTTTCCGGAAGAACCCTTCGCAATGCTTTCGGGAACAAACAAAATGGGTAATAAACCTAAAAATAGATTAATAGAATTACTACATAATTAATAAAAAATATAAATACACTGCATTTCTCAAAGGCCCGCGGACTAAATTGCGCCTGTGGAGCCAGCTGATTGGTTGTAGCACGTTGATCTCCTATCTGCGCCAAGGAGCAACATTCTTCGAAAGCACAGATTCCAAAGTATTTGCATCCCGGGGCCCTTACCCGCCCTATCACCGTTGACATGTGCATATGGAGGGTGTCAATTTCGCTGCTAGAGATGTCCAGCAGGGTGAGCAGTTTGCAGTTTTCATAGGCCCGGTGGCCGATGAAAGTAGCATCCCCACCCAGTACGACTTGGAAGCAGCCTTGTGGGATTCCTGACAGGGGGGACGACGGAGAGCGACCTCTGCCATTGCTCTGACATCTTAGCTTGGCACACTCTTCAAAAGCATAAGGCCCAACTACGGCTCCTATGGCCAACCTGCAAGCCCCTTCAGTAATGACACCTACTTTTTCAAGGGCACAGCATTCCGAGAATAGTCGAACACCCAACTCGACACATCCAGGCATTTCGACCATAACCAGGGTACAGCACCCCTGGAAAGCCGCATATTCGATGGCGACTACAGTGTCAGGCAGCTTAACAATTTGGAGTGAGTGGCAATACCGCCAGGCTTGTCGGTCAATCATGTGAAACCCTGGGTCCACTTTGACGTGCCGGAGTCGTGCAACTGAAAAGAAGGCTTTGGCCTCAAGTATCCCAGTGTCATTAGCCGGGACCCTGATAGCTTTTGGGTAGTCCTCATACTCTTCGCCTTGAATTTGCTCTTTGCAGTCATATTGCTGAAAACAATCTTGAACGACTAGGTGGAATTGCGTGTTCCACCATAGGTCTTCTTGGATGGGATCCTGCAGTGTTTGGTGCGTGTCAACATCTAGTAGGGTGAGCTCACACCCAAAGGTGTCCTTCGATTGTTTCACTTCCGCATCTGCCTTCAACTCCAGCATTGAGCAAATGGTTCAGTCTGGAGCATGGTTCAGTCTGGAGCAGTGTCCGCAACATCGCTAAAAAGGCGATTGGCAACCTGGATGCCCTGAGCAACCACTTTTCTTCGAGCTGCCAAGTTGTAGGTTCTGGTTGCAATGAAACTGGGGCAGTGAAAGAAAGGGGCTCGGATTTAATTTAGGATTGTTTTTTGTTTTGTTTTGTTTTTTTTTCGTGTTTCGTGGCAGGTGCAGTACTTTGTGGACCTTGAAATGCTACTTTGTGGACCTTGAAATGCACATTTCGTGGCAGGCGCAGGACTTTGTCGATGTTGAAGTGCGGATTTCGTGGCAGGCGCAGAATATGTGAAGCAAGACATGTACATCGAGCAACTTGAGGAAAAGATCGAGGAACTGCAGGAACAAGTAGCTGAGAACTTCCAGATGTACGAGCTGGAACGTCGACATTCCAGAAAACTCATGACTCAGATGACCAACCTGAGGAAACCCCAAAGGGGCAAGTGGTACACTTTTCATCCAGGTGCCATCACTACAGCGAAGGCACCAAAATGGACTTGTGTAGAAGATGCCTGAATGATGGGGGCGTGTCAGACTTTGGGACACAGTCAGTCACCCAGGCACGAACCGCAATCGCCGGCTTACACTCGAGACCCCATTTGTGAGGTTGAAATAGGTGCGCCCTCGCCGTTTCACAATTTGAAACCAAAAGTCTTGCTTTCGACCGCAAAGCTCATGGAAAGGGGGTTCACACTTGTGAACAAACTGAGTGAAAAGTTTGTCTTTGGACTCCATGGACTTTCTTATTTTTGGCTTCTCTCTTTACAACCGTCCTAGGACTCAGACGAACTTCTTCATGGCATTGTACCAGCACCGTCTAGTTCTTCTGAATTCAGTTTCGTGTTTTGTTGTGGAACAGGCAAACAAGTGTTGTTCGACAAGAAGCCGGCTCAATGTGCATGTCTTGTCATGGACACCGTGCTGTTGCTGTAGGTCAGTCCAATCGCAGCAGCATTGTCCCCAAATCACCCTGTCGAAAGTCGGATCCACAGGAGTAAAGTCTCCGTGGCTTGTCCTGCAGTCAATGCTTCGCAACACAAAACTGGTTCCACTTGTGCAGTTTGTGGGTCACGAAAGGTTATCGAACTCTGCTGCAAAACAAAGGACCAAACCTTTCTGCAGCTTTGAGATCACAATGGATGAGGGTTGTGATGGCTTTCATCAAGATCGGAGAAGCGGGGTCGAAGACCAAAAGGAGGTGGACCGAAAACGCTCAAGTGCTGTCTTGCGTGATCAGTGAGAAGTGGGGCGCATGGAGAAGCTCCCACGGCATGAGAAGTTGATTGAAGTCTTTGCGGACATGGCCTACTGGTTCTGGCCATCGCAGAATCCAATGAACAGGATCTGTTGCTGAAACCCATTCCAAACTGGAAGTCGCCCATTCAGCGTTCATGCATCAAGCGCTGCTGTCAGACGTCCATCTCTTCCATGCGCCACTCCAACAAATTTGCAAGCGAGCATGTGAATGAGAAGCCGTGTGGACACCAATCTGGAGCAAGGCACATGGAAGCTTTGTTGGAGGCCATCATGCGCAAAGTAGAGGCTGAAGGTTACTCTTCCAACACAGTCAAGATCAAGTGCTCAATGGCAAAGAGCTCGAGGAGGAGTTTCTGGTTGCCAAGAGCAGCAGGAAAATGATTCAATGATGCCATCAGGGCTGAATATGATCAACTGGTCATCACCAAGGAAGCGGTTTGCCAGATCACAAAGCCAGCCTTGAGAGATCGTGTTGAACGTGGGCAAGGTCATCGAGCTGCTTCCGATGAAGATGGTCCACACCAGAAAGACTGGTGCCGGGCGGTGCCCGGATTTTGGTGGGCTGATGGTGCAAATGCTCTGGAAAAAACCAGCTTTTGGAACTGTACATTGTTGGCCTGCACTGGACTGCTCTGTGTGAGCGCTTGCACTTGAGAATTCTTGTTTCGATCATCCTTGCAGTTTTGGTAAAATACGATGCTCTCCTCATGAAGACCTGTTGAGCGGCGGCTAAATCTATATTTTACTTGATTTCTATTTCTGTTGACCTTGAAATCCCAGCCTCTTTTCCCAGTCTCTTCTCACCTTCCTACCCTCTTTTCCTCTGTGTGACGTTTGGCTTCCGTGACAAATGCCACAGTGAAAGCGTGAAAGTCAGTTTTCCTCATTATTTTCATGGCCGGTTTTCCAAAAATAAGAGCTTGATCGTTGTTCATCGGTGTTGGTTGGTTCTTTTTTGGGCGATTTGTTTTCGACCGACAATGGTAAAACGGTCATTTGTCAAATGTCCCAGCTTTAGGTCAGGGGGTCAGTGACTGGAGACCACGACGAGGTCAAACATGGACTGATGCAGGTGTTGACCACACTGGAGGGGAACACATGCTCCTTTTGCTGCTTCGTTGAAACAACAGGGTTATGAACCAATGACTGTGAGAGGAATATTGTAGGAGAGGTTTGAACATGAGTGGAGGGAATCTTGAGAATTTGAAGCTTTGCTCCGCAGGCAGTTTTGGGTCAAATGAGGTATGTCGTAGCTCATTGGTTTCATGGAAGATATCCGTGCTTGGAACCAAGCGAACGGAAAAGACAGTGCATGGAATTGATGCTGAATTGTCCAGGTTCACTGCAGCGGCGGGTCCTTTGGGTCGCTGTGCTTTGGTGGCTTTGTGTGCTGGGATACGGCTACTTCATGTGGATCTCCAAGGGCTGTGAGCCCTACATGCCCTTTATCTCAGACATGGGCCTCAACGCCCATGTTCCGAAGGTCTTTCTCATGGGGACTATGGTCGAAGGCCTCCTCATCAGTTCATGGCTGCTTTGGGCCACCCTGGCTCGATCTCACATCTTAAAGCTGCTCCGTTTGCGCTTCGTTGCACTGGAAGCTTTGTGTGTGCTCTGTGGTGCCAGTGTCGCTTTGGGCACCTTCTTCATCGGAGTATTCCCTTGGGATGTTTACTCCTACCTGCACTTTGCATGTGCGAGTGGCGTATTTTGGGGCGGATGTTTTTACTCCTTCTTCACCTGTTTGTTGTGCCTGGGCATAAGCTGCGAATATCCATTGAATCTGCTGGGAACCCGAAGTCGGTGGCGCATGATGTACACCTGGCTAACGCCCCTCTGTGGCTTCTGCTTGTTGGCGGTGTTTCTTTGCCTCTTCGCTGCCTACGATACAAGACCAGAGTTCTTTAGCTGGACCTGGTGGCCAGAGATTCAGGCTTCTGCCAGAGAAGACTTCCTTGGCTATTGCAGCGGCCCCCTCACAGCAAAAGATGGGGGAATGCGTTTCTTTGTTCGGAAGTAATGATCATAAATGAATAGTCGTTTTTATGTCTTTGTATCAAATCTAGATCCTAAATCTATTTACATCTTTACTATACAGTCGTGCATTCAAGTGCAAAACGCCGCAACCTGTTCTGGACATTATCGACTTGAACAAGAAGACTGATTTCAGTAAACATGAACATGCCAACCGTAGGTCTTCTCCTACGGCCCGGCCAGAGTCTGGTGCAACACAGAGTGTTCACAGTCTGGTCCAGATCATCACACGAAACGATGATAGAAAAGGAACATCTGATGTTTGGTCCAGGATGCCTCCAACTGATGTGCTTCGAACATGTGGCACCGGACCTGCTAAACAAAACATCGACCCTGCCCGTTCACTTGCCATCTGGAGGTCGAAGCTGGCATGGCTTACCCTGGGTGAACAGCTGTGCCTTTTGGGAGTGGGCCACCTTGATGCTCCTCTTCGTCTCCATGCTGGCAGGTGCGACCGGATTGGTGTGAACCCCACACGGTCCGGATTGGTGCGAACCAACGGAAGTCTCGGGCTGTGGGGTGAACACCAGGTGCTTCACCGGCGTTTGGGGGGCGAAGGAAGACCCCACCGGTGTTTGGCGGGCGCTTCCGGAGCGTGCCGACCAACACCTGCGAGGTTTGACCCACGTTGTGAAACCGACGGCTTTTAGCAGCAAGTTGGGGTGGCGTCGAGAAAGGTTGGGGTTCGACCTGCATGGTCTTTTTTAGGTCCCTAGGTGATTTGCCATGGTTTGTCCAGTGCACTTCGCCACCATTTCTCCATTTATGCTGTACATGAACTGGTGTTAGAGTTACACATGATGAGTTGCAAGATTCGTTTTGACCAGAAATGGGAGAAGCAACTAGATTTTGTTTGTATGAAGTAGTTCATCCTCTTGGACTTTGAGCTGCAGCTGGTTGGGTAGGGAAGGTTCCAAATTCTTTTTGAAAGGGAAGTTTGATGAGGCCAAAACAAGGGCATGCAGTAGCGACGACCATCGCTGCCAATGGTGGTCTCATGGCCCCACCTAAAGGGTTTCGTTCGAGTGGGTTGTAGAAGCCACAAAGCGCGCAGAGTTGCAGTCTTCTCGCGAAACGGAACAACCAGTGACATCGAGGCCAAGCTGACATCGAGCTGTACCTCGATTTGAAAGGAGGAACCCAAGCGGAACTCCTTCCTTTCGATCGACTGGAGGGATCAGAGCTGCTGGCGGGGCGCTGGCGAAGCCCTTTGGGCACCTTGGGATCAGCGCGATGCTGGTGGCTGGCCTTGGTGCTAGGCGGCGGAGACCAACAGAACACAAGAACGGATGCCACAAGTGAAAAGGAGGGATATGCTTGGCCTCATATGTTTGAGAAGGACTCCTCCTGCATCATACAACTCCACCCCAGAACCCAGGTGACCGTCAACAGCTTTGCTCAAGTCACGCAACTTTTGTGGCGTGATGTCAGGCCCTCCCAGCGTCTTCGCACTGATGTACTTCATTTGGGTGCACGGATGCTCTCCTCTACCCCCACTCCTGTCACACTTTGGCCTGAACAAGCACACCAGCTGTATCTTTTGTAGTGGTCTGCTGTTCTTCGACAGCATCTTTGCGATTTGGCTCTTGCATCTTCTCACCGGACAGTGGGCCACTGCTCAGCGACGGGATTCTGCCTTTCTGCTACTTTCTGGTTTTCAGGCTACAGGCGCCATGTGTTCTTTCTTTTTGAAGGTGGATTCCACTATCACTATAACGTGGGACGAACGCCTGTAGATAAAACCGCTTCCTTTTGTTTGTTTCTCCATTATGGTCTACCAACCATTTCCACGTTTGAACCAGGATCTCACAAGACATTTCTTTCAATCCACGCACAATGTACTTTCCTCTCCTTTAGCCTTTTCTTGACGAGGGGAAAAGAGTAGAGATCATGAGGTGAAACTGATTGACATGATGTTAGTCTAGGTGGACACTGTTCAGGGCATGCGTGCTGCGTGCATATGTCCGTTTACAGTACCTCTCAGCACTCCAGGATATGAACAATGTTTGAATTTGACATGGAGTCAACCCTGCAATTGTCCCAGCAGTCATGACATGATCTATGGACTGGCATTTTGGGCCCAAAGGCTTTCAGAGAAAAGCTGCACGCTTTGTTTTTATGGTAGCGGAGCCCTGGCCGTAAAGCGCGGGGGCTCCCGCACATGTGGCACCCCGAGGACTACAGGCTCAACTGCCTCCTCTCAGGTGGCAGTGCTGGAGGGATTCAGCAAGGAATTTGCTATTATCAGCCGCAGCTGGCCACTTGCGGATCAAGCAGAGGCAGCTCCACTGCATCTGTGTGCAGGACTACGTGGGGAATCTCAAGTGGCTAAAGAGTGTAAAGGCTACACTTTTACTCCGAAAAAAAGTTACAAAGAAGCAGACACATTGCAGAGAACTTTTGGTTGTGGTGTGCCAGCAAGCAGCAAGTTGGAAGTTCATGAGAAGGCTGAGAGAGCGCGAGAAGAGATCCAGGAGGAGAAGGTCTGATCAGTTTTGGGACTTTCTGAGCTATAGCCGCTTAGATTTCACAGAGGATCAAGAATCAAGAAGGTGCACACCTTACCTAGCTGCAAGGCATGGTGGATGAGAGGTTCGGGTTCGGTGGCAGCTGCGCTGGAAAGATTGAGTGCAAGCCAGGCGAGCCAAACATTTTCGCGGCACCTCAAGGCACCAGATGTCTTTGAGCCGGACACCAGGGACAATGAGTCAAATGGCAAAGGCATAGATCCAGCCATGTCACATCCATGGAACACCTAGCAACTTGCAACAGAAATGTCAGACAATAACCTCGAGATGGTGATTACAGAGGGAGCACCCCTTGGACCTACTTTCCACAAGGCATCTTGATGTTGCACGCCACCAGAGCAGAAATCCAATACTGGAGGCAAAGGTATGGCATCTGGTTCTGCAGAACAACCACAGGCATGGCGTTTGCAGCTCAGGCACACCAGCCAGCTACACCAGCTGGAGCAGGAGTGAAGTTCCGGGGAGAAGAGAGAGAGAGAGAGAGACAGAAGAAACTGAATTGAGGAACTTGAGGAGAGATACAGAGGACAGAGGATGCAGGTGAGAAGGATGAAGAGATGCAGAAAGGCAGAGAGCATGGCAGAAGGGTCGCAAAGGAGTGACGGCTCTATCCAACAAACTACGCCGGCGTTGAAGCAATTGAAGCACATGCAAATGAGGAAGCCGGATTGGAATATGTGCCAGAAGTGGTGGAGGAGCAGTTGGGAGATGGAGAAGATGAGGATAACGATCCACCAGACATCCCAGAATGGGAACAGAATGTTCTAGGTGAAGAAGCGAAGCAGAAAGAGTTCGAGAGAACGCGCGAGATGCCAGCAATCAAGGAGACAGCGCCGGAAGAAGTTGAAGAGAACAATGGCTATGTGATGAACACAAAGCTGGTATAGACGTGGAAGCGCAAGCTGGAACAGGGTCGAGCACAAAGCTGGTATACGCGTGGAAGCGCAAGCTGGAACAGGGAGGCTGGTTTCGGCGTGCGAGATTGGTGCCCAAGCATTTTGAGGGGAGCCTTGAGATGGAGCAGACATTTGCACCAACTCAACTGGGGTCCCAACTTCGTGGGAATGACCCTCGACATCAAGATGCGTTTTTGACAGCCCAGTGAAGAGACAACCTGTGTGAAGACAGGAGGCAAGATCTGTTGGTTCATCAAGTGCTTGCCAGGACAACGGGCTGCAGGACTGCCAGAGCCCTCGCTCCAAGTATGATGTTCGCAAGATCTGCAGCGACGAAGGGGCCGTTTTTGAATCTGACATGGAGTCAACCCTGCAATCGTCCCCAACAGTCGTGACATGATTTGTGGACAGGCATTGTAAGCCCAAAGCCTTTCAGAGAAAAACTGCACGCTTCGTGGGTTTTCTCGGTCGTCGAAATGCTCCGTTCCCAGGAGCCAGCTTGATGGTGGTGGGCTTTGGGGGGATCGGCTTTGTGAGATGGGATCTTCATTTGGCACTTCACGCCCTTTGCGGACTTTGCATTCTCATAGGCCGGAAGCTTGTTGGGTAGAGAAGACGTTCTTTTATACTTTCTGGAAGGTGTTTGCAGGTAAGCCCTTTTGGAAATGCTTAGACAGTCTGGTGTATGTGTGTGGTCATGTTTCATTGTTGGGGCTGGTTGCTGGGGCTTTCTTGTGGAAGCCTGGCCAGTTGTTAATGATCGATTGTGAAGGGGCATTTGACCCCGACCGATCAGGACACGAAACGGTATCGTTGACGTTGATTCTTCGGTCGATCTCCGCACCCTTGGTGTTTCGGCCTGACCGTTGAGGTTTTTGTGCCTCGTGACGTGCAAACTTCTCACTCAGCACCAGTGAACCACCCTGGACCACTGATTGGGGGAGGTTCCCGGGGGCATGTTGGGTTGTGATGGCGCTAAGCAGCTCACGCCGGCTCGCGCCGGTTCGCGCCGGCTCGCACGCAAACGGCCTGCGGATTCGCCGCGCTCGCTTTGCGGCGGAGGCTTTGGGCTTTGGTCCACGTGTGAACTGATCGGGACATTCCCAGAGCTGTTTGCGAAAGACAGGCACGATGGTCTTGTGGGCTTTAGCTCTGTCTCAAAAACATTCCATGAAGGCCAGTCAAAAGGGTCTAAACATGTCAAAACCTGGATGTTTCTTCACTTGTTACGGGAAGATAGTGCTGCCTTCTTGAGACAAAGGGCACATGCAATTACGGTCCCTAAATATCATGTAAGTGGTCCTTCAACATCTAGGTTTACAGTTGCCCTGTGACATGATAGGCTTGCCCCAACCCTTCCAGGCAAAGGGTCCCCAGAAAAGCCCGAAAAGCCCAATCCCCAGGCCTCGATGGCATCGACCCCTCAGACTGTTGCAATACTTGAGCTGGGGAGGGACCTGGTTCGCCCTCTTTGCTGGTGGAACCTGGTGCTGCAAGAGATGGCGAGATCCGGGTCTCGAGGGCGACCCCGAAATCGGCCGCAGAATCGGACGCAGGGTGCAGACGCACAAGCGCAAGTAAATGCAAGCAAGTCATGGTTGAGTTGACCATTTCATTCCATCCATCAGGGTCGATGATTCGGGCTGAGCTGCTCCGACCCAGGATCTGGGATGAGCTTTCAAGCTGCGGTGAGGGCAGCCCGTGCTCTCAGCTGGGTCAGAAGGGGGTCAATGATTGGGCGGGATTTGTTGATGGGAGGAAGTCGAAAAAGACGGACAACAAAATCAGGTTCGACTTCTAAATCAAAAGATCCGAGACCATTGACCATCTCACAACAGTAGAGGACAGTAGAGGTCAAGCACCTTTTTGGCCCAGATTCTGCTGGGTAGGATTCTTCTGGGTATCACACACTCCACCTGTTTCTCGAGACCGGATGTTTCTTGCTGAGGCCTCCGGCTGGGCATGGCTGCCTGCAACCTTAAGTTTTGTCCATGAGGACTTTGCACAAATCTGCAGTGGAGGCGCATGCCTGGGGGAGGTCTGAATCCCAAAGAAAGTTGAAAGTTTCTCCAAGTAAGACATTGCTTCAGCTCCACGTCGCAGAATCTTGTGCTGAGCCCTTTGCTTCCACAGGTTGTGTTTTTGCTTCCGAGCAAGGGGAGTTGTGTAAATCATGTTGGCTGCAGAACGATGACCAAGATGTTGATGTGGAGTTTCAAGTGAAGGTGGATGCTGTAATTCTGTTCTTGACGACTTGGAGTGATGGTTATCTCCTTGATGATGGTGGTTGTGATGGTGGGTGAAACGGTGAAACCGAAGAACAGGTGCAAAGTGCAGACCGTCCTTGGGTTTCTCCCTCTTAAAGGCTTTGAGCCGCATGCGCATTTTTGTTTTCTACATCAACGTAGATATGCCCAACATGAACAATTCTTTCCTATTTTCTGCAACTTGAAGGGATGACAGGCTTAGTACAAGGCCACAATTGCACGTTTGGCCTTGATAGACAGAAAGGTGCGCTGCTCCAACTTTTGGAAAAGTCTCGAAAAACAAGGGAGATACAGAGTCACACTTTATCCCTAGAAGTCCAACGACTATTTTGACACCACCCAAGTAAAGGAAATTCATTTTTCGGGTCACCCAAACACAATTCTTTGACTTTCAGGGTCATGATATTTGATACAAATTGATGCTGATGCTCTTTCTTGTACAGTAAATCTATCAAGAAGTCAAATCCGCACAGGACACAACGGACAAAAATACAAAGGCCCTCTTGTAATCACAGCTGATGAATCTTAGTGATGTTCGTGTCAATGCTCAAGCCTTCATTTTGACAGACTGCAGGAAGCCCGACATTTTCTTGGAGCCACTACTATGCTCTGCCGCTTTGCACTGCACACCCACGTGTGGCTGTTCGTTGGGTACCGAACACGACCGGGGACGATACGCTTCGGTCGATACGCTTCGTTGCGCATTCCTGTGAGTTCCGGTCGTCTCCGCACGGTTCCGGTCTCCGCGCTCGTCTCCGCGTCGGTTTTGGGTCGCTTGAGGTGTCAGTGGATGTGGATGGGCTGCATGCACTGCTTTGCGCCTCAACTGAAAAAGCACCAACGGCGAAGGCGAAGGACCCATTGAATTAGCTCCTTGAACACTCACATTTGGACAATCATGGACATTGGCTTGTAAAGGACGGACACGGTGACACGGTCTTCCAAAAAAACCAGGTAGACAGTTGCAGTGCTTGGTCGGGTCAGGGGCTTTTTTCTGGGATGACACTCTTGTCGCACGGGTTGGGTGCCTGGAAGACCATGCTGGTCGCGAATCGCTCGTCGCTTCACTCTACTTCACTATATACCTTCCCCAAACACAAAGCTTTGCTTCGGGTAGTGGCTTGTCGCCCCACCAACTGGAAGGGCTGTTTTTCAACATGGACGTTCTCGCCAGACCACCGTCCTCGTTCGCTGTCCTCGGTCGCTGTCGTTTTGGCTCTTGCTGGTCGGTGGTTCGGTCGGGGGTTTTGAATGGTCTCCGGCCCTCGGTCTTTGGAATCGTCTCCTGGTAGGATACAACGAAGTCGCCACAAGACACCGCGTAGACCGATAGAAGCCGCCGCCACTCGACCTCTATGCAGGTGATCGATCCGGTAGTATGTGGCTTGGGCGAACCGCTTGAGAGACATGGTCATCATACATACAAATGCTGGCAATCTTCAGAGCTTACAGGGGGAACTGCTCCTCGCTGTCCAACGGGAGGTTGCGCACCCGAACAAAGAGAATAGGAGGCAAAGCCAGAAAGTATATGGGAGCAACATGATACATACAAGCAGTGACTAGGAAGTCTTTCCACTTTTCGACCCTTTGACGTTTGCAATGCCCGGCTTTGGCGACTTTTCTTGTTTGTCTTGACTCTTTGGGTCTTCGGGTTTTACGGTCTTTTCGACTCATCGACTGTTCAAATCAAGACAACATGTCATGTCCCACTCTTCGACGTTTGCCATGTCCGGCTTTGGATTTCCTTTTCTTGTTTGTCTTGACTCTTTGGGTCTTCGACGTTTCGCCAGTGCTCTGGACCGTTGTGGTCCGAATCGGCTGACACCGGTGCAAGGTGGCGTGCTCCATTTGCGACTCTGAGGTCTACTTCTTGGTCGCTTGGGAGACTTGGGAGGGGGAGATGGTGGGAGAGGGTCTTGAAGTCTCCATGTAGGGCAAGGCAATTTGGAGCGAAGAAAGGGGCCTCGGGGCCTCTTAGAAGATTTTGGAAGACAAGACGAGTTTGAACAGCGCGGGATACACTCTCTGAATCTCCCTGAAATCATCATGGACGTGGAAAACCACCTGTTTGTGGAGGACAATTGACATCCAAGGGGCCATTTTCCACTTCCATATTAATTTTTTTACTTTTATGATTATTTCAGGAAGTGTAGAGTGTAATTCAAGGGATTTTGACAGCATTTTTTTCCAATTTGTTCTTACTCCGAAGCAAGGTCCAGTTTGGATGTGTGATGCTGGAGAGTTTGGACGTGATGTGATGCTGGAGGAGGTTTCCTCTCGGTCTTTATCTTGCATGAAGAGAGGCCCGAAAAAATCGCCCCTCCGTATGGGTTTTGTGCCATTGAGGAGTTGGGTGGGACCGTTTCAGATTCGGAATCCTACATTTGCAGCCTGCATCATATGGTTCACTCACAGTCAAAACGAGACATGTTCACTCTTTTCCCCCAGCCGCAGCCTTCCAAGACTCGTTCCGTAGTCTCGAAATCCTTGGGTTAAGAACTGACCGATTGTTAGGTAAAGATTCTTGACTCAACGGTGGGCACCGGACGCTACTAGTAGCGAGCGTTCGGACGCTATGCTGGGTGGAGGCCATCGTGATGCCTGGATGCGTTCGGACACCCCAAATAGCTCGAATAGCTCCGAGGTCAGCAAGGTGGAGGAGTCCGGTCAGCACCGCTCCCTGAGGTGCCGTCGGTTGTTCGAACGATGGCCCGTTTGGGGATGGAGTTGGCGCAGCGGATTTCACTGAAGACCCCTAAGAAGGCTGATGTGTTGGGGAACTTTCACTCTATGGCATCATAGGAATCTCGGGGAACAGGAGGCGAGAGTCTTTCATATTCAGAATGCGGCCAAGTGATGCCAAGTGTTCTAAGCCTCAAGGGGGGATGCCAGATCGAATGGTCTCTCGCTCTCTCTCTCTCTCTCTGTGTATCATATTTAGGTGAGGAGGATTTGGGGGGCGCGACAGGATGTTTGACCATTTTTCGTGGTTTTCGTGGTGCTGCGATCACGAGAAGAACTTTCGAGAGTCGTGCTGAGACATGGCGACGACCACCGTGAGGCCTCCACTGCGCATGGTCCTCTTGCTGGGCATCGCTGCAGCAGGCGACGGCACGGCCTCCTCAACTGGGGATTGTACAAACCTCTTCAACTGGGGGGGCTGATCAATCGAGCGTCTACAGCCAGCATGATCTGGAGATGGTTTCATGCAGTCTTTTTGCTCTTTAGAGCAGAAGCCACCTTTAGATTACTGAGTCATCAAGCCTGACATGAATGGAGGAAAAGAGACGGGACAAGTTCCTCTTCCTTGGAACATCGACATCAAATGTGCACGCTGACAACTCATAGTTTGCAAATAAATAATGCCATGCTTGTTGGTCAGAAAACATGTGCAGTTTTCCAGTGATGGTGCTTTGCTCAGGACTCTTCCGCTTGATTTGGAACACTTGGTAGCTCTGAAAGTCTCAATGGCTGTGGCTCAATAGTCTTGATCCTCCACCCAGATTCTGGTTCGCTGACAAAGCACAAGAGCAAAGCGCAGCCAAATCTTTAGCTTGGGCCAAGCCCGCTCAATTGAGCTGTTGAGCGCCGCAGAAGGCGCGCCACTGGAGACTTCTCCAGGAAGAGGTTCCAAGCAGGACTTGGCTCTACCAACGATGTGGCATGGCTTTGTGGGTTGCAGATGGCTAGTGCTCCAGCTGCTTGAGCTTGAACTTCTCTGAATTTGGGTAAGTTCCCCCAATTTTCGGTGCAGTGTAGATCGATGTGGGGCTGGTCCCAAAGAGGCTCCAGCTATTTCAGAGCAGCGGCTCACGGCAAAACTGCCGTGCCAGGCTCCCAAGCAGCGACTTGTGAACATCCCTCCGTAGATCAGCTACGATTGGTTTTTGCAGATCTGTTCTCCACCCTGGCAGCCATGTCTCCACACGGATGACACCTCTGACTGCTCCTTCAGGATCTCAAAGAAGCGAACCCGATGAACAGTTACCTCCGGTTTTCACATGGCCTTCTGATTTCGAGACTGATCCTGGGACAAAGGACCAACGACACACGACATGAAGCAGCTTACACGCTGTCAGGGGAAAGCGTGTAAGGCTAGGGCATGCACAAACTGATGTGTAGGTACCAGGACATTATAACCGAATCAGACCGTTGAGTGGCCGAATCAGATTGTTTAGTTGACCGGTCCACGGCACTCGGGACGACATCAAGGGCACGGTGTGCGTTGAACGGGCGTGTTGTACGTTAAACGACCCGGTTTGCGAAACAGTTTCTGAAGAACGTTGCGGGAAGCACTTCGCTCGTGGTGTTTGCTCAAATCAGCTGCGACAGACATTTCAAAGCGGATGACACAGGTTGCTATTAGCCGCTAGGGAGAAAAGAACTGATTAGCAAATCACATGAAGATCGGGGCCTTTGCTACAAGTTCCTGATCCACTTTCTGGTGATCTTTTCCTGACGGATACTGGTTCCAACGGGTTCCCTCTTGGAGAGGGAGATTCGCCAAGAAGGCGCTAACTGGGGGCTGCGGTGGGTGTTTTTGAACAACAATCGGATCAATCCCCAGTGGTGGGAGGACAGACCCAGACCAAGCCACTTGTAATTGGGATCTCCGAGACACATTCACATGGCAAGAGGGAGTGGAGACAAGTTGGATCTGATAATCTGATAATCTATATATATATAATATATACACATAATCTGATCCAACTTGCCTCATGTGTGACAACATTTGCCAACTAAGAGCTAAGTGTTGTCATGGAATCATCCCAAATACAGCTTGAACAGGTGTATGAACATCCTCCAAGAAAGCTTTTTCAAGTCGGTGATGATTATGATGTCGAGTCGTGGACATTGCTGCTGTTGTCGCACCAACTTGGTGAGTTTAGAACTTGGAGGAACGTGTCTACCAGCGAGTTCAGGACTAGCTGACTGGGCCAAAGTGAAGAAACAAACACTTTGTTTCTTCACTTTCAGAGAGAGAGAGAGAGAGACACACACACACACCATGCTTTTTGATAGAAGTTGATCAGGTTTCCTAGCCCTCTCTCATACCTTTCCTGTGGTGCTAAACCCTGGTCAGTGCACTCCTTAATTTCCGCACCTGTGCTCGTGACTGCCAAGATACGATCGATCAAAACTCACGAGCACAGTGGTGGTTCTCCTCGCAAGCTGCAGCTACTGCAACTGTTCCAGGCGTCCAGGTGTCATGCGTTGCTCCATCCCAGTGCAGACGGCATGTTCAGGCAGGAGTGAAAAACGATGTTTGGGAGTGCCACAGATGTTTCGGAAAAGGATGATTTTTGCCATAGATTTGTATCACCCAAAAGTCATGCTTCAAAGCTACTGAGCCAAGATTTTTGGGATGTTCTGGTGAAGACTCGGTGAAGACGGGTGCTCTTTGTTCGGAAAGGATTCTGCTTGGATTTTCTTTTCACACTTTTCCAGGCTTTCACGTCCATCGAAGCCAACTCCGAAAAACCGATTCAGGTGTCGAAATACGCAGCAAGACCACGGGGAGTGGCCCCAGCGAGAAAACGGTGCCCACGATTTCCATGTCCCTCAGCATCGACCTTCCAGTGGAAGAGTTGCTTGGTGCATCTGCGACGTTTTCCGTTTTTCCGCGCGAGTCTGTAGGGAGGTCGAGTCCGAGGCACGTCGACCCAAAGAGGGACGTCGACCCAGAGGAATTGGGGCCTCTTCGTGTCCCCATGTTGACTTGCTTCGTCCCCACTCCCGACCCCCCGATTCTTCCATTTTCTTCCATCTTCATGGCTCTTGCATCTCGTTTTTCCCGAACAAACGCTTCACGAATCCTGCTGGTGGTTTTTCCTTTTCGTGGTTTGGGGTCCGGAGCTACTCAGTCAACGGTTCATGGATGCAGCTGAGGCTGATCAGCGCGCTGAGTTTCTTCCAGCCACTTGGCCCCCTACGACGCGTGTGGCGCGCGCGTGACGCGCGTGGTGGTTGGCTCGAGCATGTCGACTGGCTGATGGCTGAGACGATGGGCTTTTCTCATGCATGTATTTTCCTGGCGAGAAAGGTCGGTGAAGCGCAGTAGGGAAATTTGTTTGGGCGCAAAGTAAGCTGCCTCATGGGGAAATCGATGTCAGACGGCCTCGGCATGTTTGTTTGAGAGAGTTGGCACGCACCGAGTGAGATCTATGATGTTTGGAGAGAGTTCTACTCGACCATGATGTGTCGGAAGAATGGTAGGTAGGACGGTAGTGACCGCATCCAGCCAGCATGGTTGCATGCAGGCGGAGCCTCCGCCAAAATCACAAGTGATGACTCGACCCAGATTTGGCCTCATTTAGCTACATTCCAACACATTTCATCACCCACGCATGGTGAATATTGTGACCTTCAGGCCAAGCAACCTCCTGTTAGTCTCAAGCTCAAGAGCCGTATCCATCAATGTCAATATCCATCAAGTATCAAAGGCTTCTCATAGATAGGACGACTTGCCACCGAATCCGACAGCTTTCACTGACCCGAACCTGTGGTCAGAGCCCATCCTCTGCGCCAAACAGGCGGATCCTGTGTCAGTGACCCCCACAGCCAAAAACCACCGGCGGGGCATCGTCTCTCGTCTCTCCTCCCAGGCAGCAGCACTCCCCGCAGCCGGATGAGGTGCCAACCGCCTTTGACTCGCGCAAGGCTCTGCCAACCGCGTCGGCGCAGGCCGGAAGCGCTAGGTCCGCTAGGTTTCCAAGCGTGCAGTTGGCAAGAGTCTAAAGTGGAGGAGGGGACTTACTTCGGAGGGCTGATGTAGGAATTTCATCACCTCACCGTGAAAATCACAAAAACAATGGCTCAATCTTTTTGAGTTCTTTTAGGTCTGAGATGAGGCAAAGCAAAGCACCTTGGCAAATTACACCGGCATAGACCCCAGGTAGCGGGTGTATAGGGAAAAAGCACATAATGCTCGCACCCGCACCAGCACCCACACCAGCACCTGCACCAGCACGCCCCAAGAAAACCCCGATCGAACACCAGCACCAGCACCAGCAGAAAGAGCCGATCCAGCACCAGCACCAGCACCAGCACACCGCCAGAAAGCGCCGATCCAGCACCAGCACCAGCACTTGCACCAGCACGTCCCAAGCAAACGCCGATCCAGCACCAGCACCCGCGTGCCGGCACCCAGCACCAGCACCGCACCAGCACCTGCGCCAGCACGCCCAAACAAAACGTCCATCCAGCACCAGCACCAGCAACGCCGACCCAGAGCCACACTATTGAGAAGCAAGAGCCCTATAGCTTGCAGCCATCTGGGGAAAAACCGGTACCTAGGAGTCCTGCCCCTTCGCAACAAACCCAAATTGCGCTAGCATAGACCCCAAATAGCACAAAGATTTCTGTGGGCAGCGCCCTGCAGCCGCACTCCGCACAGGCACTCTGTAGCGCACTCCAGCGGTGCCAGCACCCGGGCTTCAAAGCGCACACGGCCAAAGACATGTCGAGCAGCACCCTGCGGCGGCACCATCTTTCAAATCGCACCTCCGGCAGCAACAGCAGCAGCAAGCTCCAAAGTGCACACCGCCACACACCCAAGCTCCGAAGCGCACACAGCAGCTGCACCCTGCCGCGGCACCAGCACCAAGCTCCCAAGCGCAGCAGCAGCACCCAGCAGCAACCTGCAGCGGCACAAAGCACCCAAGCGGACACAGCAGCGGCACCGGGACCCTGCAGCAACACCCTGCAGCGGCACACTGCAGCGGCACAAGCACCCAAGCTTCCAAGCACACACAGCAGCTGGCGCCCTGCAGCAGCACCGGCAACCATGCTCCCACGCACACAGACAGCAGCGGCACCCTGCAGCGGCACCAGCACTCAAGCGCACCAGCACCCAAGCTTTGAAGCGCACATAGCACCGCGACCCAAGCTCCTAAGCAGCAGTGGCACCCTGCATAGCAGCGGCACCCTTCAGCGGCGCCAGCACCCAGGCTCAAAAGCGCAGCTTCCTATACCTTTAGAATTTAAGTAAGAACACCAATAGCTCACGCCATGTGGGGCTTTACGCCAACATAGACCCCAGATAGCTAAAAGAGTTCTGTGGGCAAAAATGAAAGGCTCTGACTTTGACGCAACGTGTGACAACATGATCATAGCTTTGATAAAAAGTGCACGACTACTAGCGCGGTTCTCAGCCCGCTAGCAAAACATGTCGCAGCAACACCCTCGAGCGGCCTGTGGCGGCACCATCTTTCAAATCGCACCGATCCATACGTCCGCCACAGGCACACAGCAGTGGGACCCTGCAGTGGCACCAGCACCCAAGTTCCCTCTTCCAATACTTGAAGTAAAGCCCCCACTAGCTCACGCTATCTGGTTTCAACATACATATATATGTATTTTCTTGTAATTTTTGACAATTGAAGCAACAAATAGTCATAAGATTGCATCAACGTATACAGTACGAACATTTTTCACATAATTTCTGGGTCAAACATGTCAGTCATTTGATCCATGCGATTTTTGCTGGATCTTCCAATACTTGCTTGAATCAGATGAATACAATCTTTAATTCTTAGACATGTTCCATTCATTTGCTTCAATCAAATAAACATCAAACCGCAGTTTCATGGATCAGATGCATGATTTTTTGACCCAAATCTTATAAGAAACACGTGCTTTTACACGTTTGAACATGTCGTTTTTCATATGTTTTTTATTCAAACATTATGTTTTCCAACATGTTTTTTACCACTGCCACCGCCTGGTTGCCAGGTAAACGCACTGTCACCTGGCTTGTCACAATGCTTCAATCAAATGAAAAACGGCTGCTTGAGGCAGCTCTTGTGATTGTTTTTTCAGGCCCAAAAGGGTGTTCTTTTCTTTGGCTGCAGTACTTAGAACAATTGTATGAATTCTAAAAATTCGGCAGGCTGACGTTGGGGTTCTTTAGCGTTTTGATATACACCAAGACAGACGTCCGAGTGTCATCGACCCCCTTGCGCACTGGCGACAGCAGGCTTGGAGCCCTGGCGTGCCATCGGTGTCCGCGGTGGCCTCATTGTGTGAGTGCATGAGTTATGAGGTAGCAAGGCTGGACCTTTGTCACTGTCACATGGACTTTTGTGAGCCTTTCTTATTTGGAGGGTCTTTTCCAAAAGCGGAAGAATTAGAATGCAGGGTTGCATTCATCATGGTCAGGTGTTGTTGTCCGACCAAAGTAGATGACCAGTGGTTTTTGAAGCCAGTGCTTGTGTTTCATCATTCCCCAACCAGCTCCTCTTGTTTCAAGTTTGGGGGGGCCCAACAAGCCTGGGAAGGCCGAGAATTTGGGACTCCGAATCCCTCAGCCCCAATTGCACAATACTGGTGCTCCTCCGCGCCTGGTGGCGCCCAGTGCGGCTGAAACCAATGAAGCCGAGGCTGACTTGATGACACCTGCGCTGGCGGGAGGCCTCCCGGGAACGGCTCAGGCGCTGAACGGCGGGGATGGAAAAGGAAAGGACGAAAGGGACCTAAGAGCGATGGCCTCTAACCTACTAGCGATGGCCTCCAACCTG